TGGCAATTAACTTATACAGCTGTAATGCTACTGTCAAATAAAAATCCAATACGCCTGCCAAATATAACTTACCATCTTTTACCACAAAGTGTAAAAATATTCGCCCTTTGACTCTAAATTTAAATTAAAAAATGGATACTTTATCAAATACATATACTTATATCAAGACTGTTATATTGACACTCATTTCTACACCCTACACCTCAATTACTGTTCACAAATACTTGAACAAATTCTTCAGAACATGGTTAATAGTGTGTATTTTATTGGTTAATGAAGTAGTGAAAGTGGTTAATAAATTATAGGTAAAATAATTGGCTAATAACGTAGATTTTTGTGGTTAATACAACTATGAAGTTGGTTAATGCGCAATCTTATATTTGTGTTATAAAATAAATTTTAAAAATAAATATTTTTTAAAAAAAAAATATATTATTTTAATAAAAAAACACTGTTCACCGTATAAATACGGTGAATAGTGCATACGGTGTAAGTATTGGATATAAAAAAGTGTAGAAATAGCATTTTTCTACTTATATTTACACTTGTTTAAAGTTAAATCAACATTAATACAAATAAATTGTTAATAAATTTAAATAATTTTTTGGTTTCTATAAATTAACGTATTTTTAATTTATGTCCTTGTATTTTTGTTTCTGAAAATAATTTCTAAATGAGTTTTAGCCACTAAATTTAAAATTCACAAAAAAATTCTGTAAATTTTAACTTTAAAAACTAAAATCAAAATTAAATTTTATATTTAAAAAATTTATTTTAAAAAAATAGAGAGATGAAAAACAAAAACACCAAAAAATTATTTAAACTTTATATATACAACAAACTTATTTTTAGATTATGTGTATGTGTTTTTAAAATTTACTATCTTTATCTTTAGCAAAGTCCTTACTTTTCATGTAAAATTCTATACAAATTATCATATATATATATATATATATATATATATATATATATATATATATATATATATATATATATATATATATATATATATATATATATATATATATATATATATATATATATATATATATATATATATATATATATATATATATATATATATATATATATATATATATATATATATATATATATATATATATATATATATATATATATATATATATATATATATTGATGATTTATATATATCATCAATTTGATAATCTTTAATTTTCATGCAAAATTTTAATTTTAAATGAATTATCATAATTTTTTTTAAAATAAATATTATTGATTTTTATATATCAACAATTTGTTTATAAATTTAAATAAACATCGTGTCAAAATGGATTACCTGACTATAACCGGGTCGGCTTTGGGGGATTTGGACTTTTTAAGATTGGATTAAAAAACTTTTTAATATAGGCTCGAAAATTATTAACCGAGCTTAGTCCTAGATGGACTTCAAACTACCCAATTAAATGGACTTTTTTTAATAAAAAAGTTAAAATAAAAATATCATTATATTTAATATAAATAAAATAAAAATTTATATTATTTAAACATAATACATTTTCAAGTACTATATTATTCTTTATAAATATTATAAGTATTTTTAAATACAATACATGTTTAAATTGTATAAAATAATACTCAAATATTTAGCATAAGAAAAAATAATAGAATACGAGAAAAGAGTTGATTATATTAATGTATAATATTTATAAAAAAAAATTGAACAGAATAGAGATAAAATTTAGTGAGACGAAAAAAATCAATGTATTATTTTTGAATAAGACAATATAAATTTTTAATATTTATAGCGATTGAACTTAATAGACTATTCACGACTCATATGGACTATCACTAATGAATAACAGACATTTTAAGACGAGACTAAAAAAATCTTGAAAAAATATAAACTCTAATTTTAAGGCGTAAATCATGTAATTTTTCAACTAACAGACTTTTTAAAAGTAGACTAAAAAAATCTTAAAAAATTAAAAAATATAAAGACTTAAACCATATAATTTTTCGAATCTAACGATTCAACACATGGATTATCCCATTTTAACATTCTAATCATTAGTGGTCAAACTCTAAATCACTAATTTAGATCCAATTAACTTAACTACGGATTGAACTATCCCAATCATCCATAAATTATCATATTCTCAATTAATTATTATATTAAAGAATTAAATTGACTATTTTACATGAAAATATTAATATCATATAAAAATGTAATCACGATAAAATAACGCATAAAACGAATATTTTACATAAAAATTATTCGTATCTTTTTAAAAATATTTAATTATTTAAATTATACAACAAAAATAGATTATAAAAAATGAAACATTTGCATAAATAGAACAATTGTTTAAACTAAAAGTGACAAAAGCAATAACATAATAATTGAATATTAAAAGTCAAATCTATATAATTTTTATATTAAAAAAATCAAATCTATATTTTTGTTTTTGTTGTTTGTCACAAAAAATTAATTATTATTATTCATATATGATTTTCCTTTTATATATATATATATATATATATATATATATATATATATATATATATATATATATATATATATATATATATATATATATATATATATATATATATATATATATATATATATATATATATATATATATATATATATATATATATATATATATATATATATATATAACAATTAAATTGTGTTCTCTCCAATTATTATTTTCTCTAATTGCGCTAAAAAAATACATATTTTAGTATAATTTTTTTAATTAAATAGCATAGGGACACAACTATCAACTAAATTAGTTTAAGGACATAATATTCATATAATTTATAAAAAAAACATATTATAAAGAAAATTAAAGTTTCTATTAAAGGTCATTATTGTCTAAAGTATCATGGGTGAATTTTTTTAAGAAATAACATAAAAATTGACCTTTTGAAAATTTAATTTATATTTTATTTTACAGAATAAAAAGTTGTAATTAATTTTATATGATTCGTACAAATATTTAATTATGGAATTTTCTTTAAAGTTATTGCATTCTTTTAAAATTATAATTTCTTGGTTGCATTATTGAATAATGATCTATAATATTATAAGTTTTTTCAAATGTAAGTATGTAACACTTCCTTCTCAAATATTTCATATGAAATGAGCCTCTTAAATAGAGCTGACAATGAACCAAATTAATTTAAAAATAGTTCAAAATTCGGTTCGACAATTAAATCGTTAAATTAGGTTCATGAACTAAATGAGTTGAATATAAACGAAAAATTAAGTTTATTAATTAAATGAGTTGAACTTGAACTATACATAATTCGACTCGTTAGGTTTATGAGTCAACTCGATTACATATGAGAAGAATTATACTGTCTTTAAGATTATGTTTAAATATTTGCTCAAAATCTTAGACAAATTTAATCTTCAATTTAGTAGTTTTTGAATTAGACTCTCAAATGTATCTCTTAGAAGTTGTGTAGGTTTTGAATTAGTAGATTTTAGAGATAAAGTTAAATTTCAATATGATAACTTTTATTTTATTTTAATATTTTATTTTTAAAAAATATTAATTTAAAATGTCAAATATACTAAAAAAAAGTAGATTTAAAAAAATAGTTTTTAAGTCCGTGAACCATGTGAGCTGAACCTAATGAGATGAACCTAACGAGTTGAATTGAACTGCTCGTGAACTTATAACGAGTCGAATTTGAGCTTAAAAAAAAGTTCGTGTCAAACTCGAACCGAGATATGAACTGAACCAATTTTTAACGAGTCGAGTCGAGCTGAGTTGAGTTCGACTTGACTCATTTTCAGCCTACTCTTAAGACAAATCAAATTTCGCAATTCAACTGAAAATTTATGGATACGGTAACTCTATTTATATATTAACATTTTTTTATCATATTATTTCTTTTTATACTTAAATAAATCATGTATGATGAAATTTTTTTTTATATATTTAAAAATGGAACAAATAAAACAATGAGTTAGAACATTGAAAAAAAAATACACTTTATCATATGTTTGACTGCATTTTATATTAAGCTATATTTGGCAATTAACTTATACAGCTGTAATGATACTGTCATATAAAAATCTAATATGCCTGCCAAATAGAGCTAGTTGCCAAATATAACTTAAATCTAAGTAAAATGTAGTACATTGTATCAAATACATAAAAAAAAATTCCTTCTTATCTTACATAGACAAAGTTGGATGTGTAATATTTTTAGGCCAATAGTTTGTTTCAATTTTATTCTTAAATAGTTTTTATAATATTTCATATTTTTGTTAAAAAAAATTTCTTTTAAATATCAAATAAAAATTAATTTAAATAATCTTTTTAAATGTTTTTTTAGATATTTCACCATATTATAACTTCTTTATATAAAAAAATCAATTAATTTCGAAGCTATTTTAAATAACTTTTCAACAAAAATCATTTTTTTAAATACATTTAAAAAAAATTATGATTTTGACAAAATTCAAATTTCAATAATATATTTTTATGTTACTAGATGTCAAAATTAATCTTTTAATTTATAAAAAATAAATTTAAAAAATTAATATATTTTTTTATAAAAATCATTTTTGTAAAAATAAAAAACCATTTTTTTAAATACTAAAAAAACGGACCTATAGTCTTTAACCAATTAAAAATGTCTACGCAACTATGATATAATTATTGGCAATGAAAATATTAAAAAACAGCCTTCTAAATTCACACAAAAACATCAAACATGAAGTATGGTTTTCAGTTGGCAAACAATAGCCAATAACTTAAAGTCACACATTAGGATCTATAGTATCCCATTGCATACTTTTTATACTTTATGTAAGTTTTCTATGATGCAGGATAACTTAGACCCTGTTCCCAAACTCATTCAACACAGAACATACAAGGAGAATTTCTCAAGCCAGATATTAAAAACCAGTTTCTGACCAGAGTAGTAATACACATAGTTTATGTTGCCTAGGATAAAGATATTTCACAATAAAACTTGGTCCCAATTCATAAAATTTAATATATAATGGTGTCTATAAGCTCTTGAAGTGGAGCCAGTTCCTTTTTTTCAATCAGCCCAAACTCCTGCACAAACAATAACATCAACGGTATCAACTATACGTCCGCGAGCCAAAGAGCTTAGTTTAAAATGTTGAGACTTACACAAGTGAAGAGTATAAAATGCTTGAAGCAGGTGTTAAGATGAGCCTCTTCTTTGAGGCTCACAATTTTCTGAAAGTGAGAATGATAAATATGAGCATATACACGGAACAGCCGCTTGAATATTGTCTTGACGACATCCTTAAAGTTGGGAGGAAATGGAGAACCTGCATCATGATCCCACAGGTCTAATAATGAAAACACAATAATTGTGATGAAAGGGTATAATAATCTTTAGAATAAGAAAATGTTAAGTATTTACCCAGCTTCTGAGGGAATATGGATTCATCGTCAAGCTGTGTTTCAACCCAGTCCATCAGATATTCTACATATTTTGGAGCAGATACCTCAATAGGTTTCTTAATTTGCACACCATCTGCCCATCTATATTCGTACCTGGAGTTTCATGTAATAGATAACATGAGAACAACAAATATATACAAATTGGATCAGAGCAAATAGTATATCTATAAAAATACACAAAATAATATTATATTAATATATGATTTAGCAAATAATACACGAAAAATATATTATTTTCATGAACACGCCGTTATTAAAAAACTTAAACTTCAACATACCTATGCAAAAACAAATCTTTTACTTCATCAAAAATAGTGTTAATTAATACACACAGCATCAAATTAAAATAGGCACAGAACAAAAAGTGTAACAGGAAATCAAGATACTATTGATTGTTGATAACTTCTATTGATCTAGGTGCCAAGTTATAAACAAAATTACCGAAAACGCACAGCATAACAAAACAATAATCAAAAACTAAAACTCTTCTCCTATAGGGAGATAGAAGGAGCCAACAATTTATTGAAGTGGTCTAAGCTTTAACAACACAACCACTGTATACCCTTATTTTTCCGATCATTTAGTTACCTGTTACCGCAAGATACAAATACACAATCCACATGTTTCAAGAATTTAAGTAATTTTCTATTCAAAAGCTAAAATAACTGATATTTGATAGCATATCATCTGACAAAATTTATGAAAGTATAAGCAAATAACGGAAGCAATCAGTTAATTATGCCATACTTGGGTCCTGCAGACATTGTGCGACAATTCTCGGGAGTACAGAACTCTGTGAGGGTGCCATAAAGCAGATTCACCTGGTTGAAAAAATCAACAGCTGATATGCAGACAACGAAAAAAATACAGATTAGTCTATTACAGAATCGTATGAATAAATAATTGGTGAAACTAGAGAATGAAAGGCAAAAAAAATAAAATTAACAAGAGTATACACTGCTCATCACAGTGCATCAGAGAGAGAATGGTAGTTACTGTTGACAGCTAGCCACTCATTCAAATCCTCTCCAGGAGGTAGCTTTACTGCTTCCCTCAGATTTCCGCTACCTAATGTCGCATCAATGTGTTTTCTAAGCTGAGCTCCCTGCAATTAAAATATCACGGCAGAAGATTATATAATAAAACTGCAGTGAAGAGAGCTTAGCAATCTTGTTCTTTGGAAGTTGGAATTGTACAATATAAATCGGCAATGCAGCAATTTTCTAGAAATTCAGGGTATGGGATTTACAAGATAAATACCACACAACTCATAATCCTTAGTAAGATCACGATCCAATATTAACAAATTTTTGCAATGCAGATGCCCCCTCCCAGATGCAACGACACTCATTGCATGAAATCTCCTAAACTACGCCCCCCGTCCATCCCTCAGACGAAGATCAAAATTTATAAATTACATAAAAGAGAAAAAAACTAACTGCTCATTTCAAACATCTTAGCATTTCTACAGAAAATTCAACAGCTGCTGCTTTAATGTATACATATCCAATAGAGATGTGCAATCAACTTTCTGAGTATCTGTGCATCATAAATAATATTTAAATTAACACAGTTCATGTGATTTTGCAATGAAAAATACATACGTAGATTATGAGTAGCACATCCATTTGCGGCGCCTTCAGTGACTCAACAGTCTCTTTTGGGTCTTAGATATTGTATTTCTAAGATCAATAAAACATGTTTTTATCACAGAAACTTTTCTTAGGCTTGTAACAAGTTTTTAAGGAAACAAAATGTATTTTAATGGCTGGAGCAATTTTTTATTTGATTTATATAATTATTTTGACTCTTTAGGATGCCTTTAGCAAAATCGTATTTAAGTCGAGACATTCTATCATTAATTTGAATTCATTGATTTTCTTTTCTGCATCCCCATCTCTCCATTAATAACAAATATGGCTCTTGCTTATAAATTCAAGGTTCTGGCTCTCCCTAAAGAAAAATATTAAAATACAACAACAACCAAGTCTTATCCCACCAAGTGATGTCGGCTACATGGATTGACTTTCGCTATATATTCTATCAAGAACCATACTTCTATCCAAATTGTTAATCTCGAGATCTTTCTTAATAACTTCTCTTTTACTCATTTTAGGTCTTCCTCTTTGAAGAAAAAATATTTAAATACTTTAAAAAAATGAAAAAAATAAAATACATTAAATTGAGTATCTAAAACCAAAATAAGAAATAAAGGGAACCAACCTTGCTTCCAGAAGGAGTACTTTTTTTTGGGCGGAATGTTCTCTGATTTCTGTTGCAGAATAATTTGTCAGGTTCAACATCAAAGTAGAATAGAAGAAAATCAGCATAAACTGAATTACTAAAAATATTCAACGTAACAGTTTGCACCAGTGACAAGAGCACTAGTATAATGCAAAGTTTCACTTTCATACTAATACTAACAGTTACAAAAGTGAAGAAATGAGGAATAGACGTCAATGACGTGGCACTCTATCAGTGTTATCAATCGTGGATCACGAAAAATAGTGGCTTGATCAAATTCTGCTATGCAACTATAGCGCCGTTATTTGACAATATTTTGTACTAAATATTTATGAGAATAGGTGCAATGTTCATCTCACATAGGAAATGAGCAAAAAAAATGCTAGTTCGTGGAATGAGTTCTCATTGGTCAGTCAAAAAGAGCCGTGAATAAGGAAAGAATAATATTGTAGAAATTTTATTAATAAGCACGGAACCGAAAACATGACACCGAAACTGACCTCTCAACATTGGTAATAATTTGAAAAAATGAATAGATTAAACGTAATCACAAATGTCAGGGTCAGTTTTGGACGCCGACACTCACACGGACACACCTTTTTTAGAGGTTTCGGTGCTACATTTAATTGTGCAAACCTATTGTATCCACAGGCAGTTAAGCACAAAGAAACGCGGAGAAAGGAATCAAAATATAACCGACCATTAGAATCAGAATCTAGTATGGATTAAATGGATATCATAATCTGCAGGACCATGGAAATTTTAACCCAGACAAACAGGCACTTCCAAAAACCTTTACATGCGTTTTCTTCCAAAACTTCAATAACAATTAGAAAGAATGTCCCCTATCCAGGAAAATCCAAAATTACGCTGGTTGATAAACGAAGCAATGACATTATTTCAATTTAGTTTCACATAAAGTTTTTCAAAGCAAAGGTAACAAGTGTATTCAATCTTTTAGTAATAAAAGTAGTTACTTCACTTTATATTTCCACTGAATTGTCATACAGTTTACTTAAGATTGATACTTCATAACATCTCCCACTCTCCCAAGTCATTCAATTTCATATTTGAGCAAGTTTGAGCAACTTAATCAAATATCCACTCCAAAAGAAGATCGATCACACAGACAAAATTATGCGACACGTCATTACGAACTTAGTTACTATACTGTCAAAACTACGTCGTACTACTTAATATCAACTTCAATCCTAATTTAAACCGCTAAAATGGGAGATACGATACGACAAAATAAATTACACAATAATCATTTAGTCAACCATTTAGTCAACGCCGGCATACACCTAAAGTAATAAGGAAATCTTATGATAATTCTCTCGACCACAAGTCTTCAACACACACTCATGCAACAGTTGTTCTAAAAACTTATCAACACAAGCAAACACTCATTTCATAAAAAATATTTTATTTTAACATAAACAAATTCAACTACAGATAATTGAACAAACCATATATATTTGATTGGTGCATGATAACAAAAAAAAAAAAAAAAAAAAACCTAAAATGCATGCAAAGCTTCAATTCTACTCCAATAAAAATCAATCAAATTCTACCTGCTATGGATCAACGAAATCATAACAACACTAACAGCACTAAATAATTAACTTCTGAATATGAAGAAACAAAATCATTGATGCAAATTAACAACAAAAAAGGGTTTTGACTAAGAGTTGAAAACAATCAGGGTTTAAATAGAACAGATTCATGATCAGATCATACAAAAAACAAACAAATAGTATGATTAATTGAACAAGAATAAGAATCAATTTATGGTAAAAAGTGAAAATTGATAGTAAAAATCGAAATTTTTGATGCTAACCTGCCAATACCGAAGAGGCTCATGGCTTGGGTGAGAGGAAGAGAGAAAGTGCGTTGAGTCGAAGCCCTCTCTTTCTTCCTCGGTTTAATTTTTCAAGCGTTTGTTCTACTCTTTCCTACTTTAGATTTTCGAATCTAATATTATTTTGTGTAAATGACTTAAATGTCCTTTATTCAGTTATTAATTAATAGCACTTGTCCCTTCTCTTGTGACATTTGCATGAGGTATGCATCAATTTGTTATACTTTATTTTTTATGTTTGAAAATGAAATTGTAAAACTAATTTGAAACTTAAAGAACATGTTTGCTTTTTTGGTTTTTGGTTTAATTTATTATATTTTTATATTTTATTTAACTTTCATTTTAAAATTTTTAAAAATAACTTTTATTCTTCATTGTTCTCAATTTCATTATGTTTATTTATCAATTTCATCATGTTTAAGGGAGAAAATGAATGACTCACGTGTATATTTAAGAAATAAATATTGTAATTATAAGATGTAATTTAAGAGGGGAGTGAATTAAAATTGTTAACCTTTTTTTTAGCTTTTGCGATAAGTTTTTTAATTAATTAAAGTTTCAAAAGCGATGATATAATGTTACTTAGGAAGAAGGTGTAATGCATAATTTAAAGTGCATAAAGTAAATAATACACAAGGATTATACTACCTTTTCTTACCAATTCAATGTTACATTTAATATCTTTTAGAGAACTTTCCACTATGTTTAGATTTTATTACATGTCTTCACCAAGAAAACTTTACGACTTTCTAACACATACACAAAGAAAGAACATTACTTTCTCTTTTACATATACTTATCACCACGACCATGATGAATAAGTAACGCACACACTTTTCTAAATAGTTTGAATAAGTTTTTATTGTTGGCTTTGAATTCCAAGTTTACTCTTGAATTTATGATTTTCTCTTTCTTGTATCATAATTCGAATTAATGTTACTTGAGTGCTCAAAATGTATGCTAAAACCTTTTAAAACATGTGAAAATATGTATGGTTTCAAAATCTTGAAATAAGGATGAACACTTTGCAAGAATGTTTGAATTTGTCTAAAAATGATTATAAAAGAGGTAGTTTTGTTTTCTGGTGTATAGTGTCTTATATACAGTTTTAAAAACGTTTATGAATAAATGCATAAGTTTAAAGTGGTTTCATGAAGTCTTGTCTTACTTTACAAATTTGTTTTTTAATGAAAAGTTGTAATTTTAAATGTGATAATCGATTACTATGAGATTGTAATCGATTACCATAAGCCTGTAATGGATTACCACTCTAGTTTTCTAAAAAAAATACAGCAATTTCCAACTAGGCTTCAATAGTTTTCATACATTTTAATTTAAGAAGTTTATATATAAAGTTTGAGAGATATTTGAGAGCATTCAAAGTGATATATAATAAATTTCAATGTATACCTTAAAACTGATGGTCATTTCAATTCTTCTATTTGATTTCCAATACTTATTCTTCATGACAACTTCATCTTCAAACCTCTTTATCTTTTTCTTTTTCGATATACACTTGTCATACCCCAAATTTTACCCTTAAATGTTTAGGATCATTTCGCATTTCATCTCATTTTGAATTGCATTGTAACTAACCGCTAACCAGTTTGCTCAGTCTGTTGGTTTTTGCAAGAAAAATCACACTGTGTGGGATTTAATTGGTGAAAGGAAAAAGGGTCATTAATTTGTAGTCTGCCGACAATTTATGAAGCAAAGTCGTTGTCAGGGATTCCTCAAGCGATTAGGGTTTTAACCTCCGACTCGTGCAATTCTTATTTGAGAAGGGGTTGCATTTTACGACAGTTTTGACGTCAGATTTCTCGTGACACAACACATTTTATTCAAGAGTCGAGATTCAGTCGTCAGTTGGATTTCAGAAATGTTGTTTGATTCCTAAACCATATGGAGATGAATGTGTTGAGATATCAGTGGATTCAGGTTAAATCGGTGCGAGAATTTGCTTTGCGGAATTTATTTTAACAGACGCACGTTTTCCTGCTTTTTGCTAGTGAACAGTCGATTTTAAAGGAAGGAGTTTCGGTGCGCGTTGAATTTATAATGAATATATGTTGGTTTGGTCATGATTCTCAGCCAAGTTGATTCAGGTTACCAAGTTAAAACATTCGAGATGCGATTTGAATTTTCAATGTGGAAGACAATTCGTTTCGCCGTTTAATTGAATTTCTCTGCTTATCCGTTCAAGGCCATATTCACCGATTTTATTATCGGAGACGAATTAATTTGCAAAGGGATTTGTTTGAACTCAATAGTTACATCAGATTTAAATCCTGCAAGATGATTAACTGTCGAATTCGGAGTTTGGAACGTCGAAGCTTAATCGAATAATTTTCATTGGATGAATTTAATTAGACGAATTTATTTGGTTGAGTTTAATCAGATGGAGTTAGTCGTTTGAATTTAATCAGATGAATATTAATCGAATGAACTTAATCAGGTGAATTTAGTCGGAGGAATTTAATCAGATGGATTTTAGTCGGGTAAATTGAATCAGATGAATTTATTTGTATGAATTTAAGCAGATGAACTTAGTCGGACGAATTAATCAGAGGATTTATCTGAACGAATTTACTTGGAGGAATTTAGTCGGATAAACTTAATTAAACGAATTTATTCGGTTGATTTTAATCGGATGAGTTATTTGAAGATTTTGATCGGAGAAATAAATTCGATTTATTAAGAAAGAATTGAATTTATTCATTTAAATTCTATTTTTTATTACAAGGTACAAAGATAATTGCAAGTGCAAATTCATTTCTAATTAGCTCCTAAATGCCTAATTTTTCTAAAATGGTCTTCACACCGATTCTTCAACCTTCGATTTTTTCGAACCTGCAAAAAAAAATCGACAACAAAGAAAAAATATGATTAAAGGGTTAGAATCAATAAAAATGGTTTTTAATCAGTTCCGATACCCTCAGCTAAAATTCATCATCGGGTACGTCGGGAGGGCAACAACGACAAAGTCGTCGCCAGCTCCCGGCTGTTATTTTTTGACCCCGACACCGACCCGACAACATCTGTCCAATTTGTTCCAAGAGAGAGAAAAGTGATTTTTTTTTTGGAAAAGTGATTTTGAAAAAAGTGCTTTTGGGAAAAGTACTTATTTTGGAAAAATGGTTTTTTGCCAAACAGGTCATAAACAACTTTCCCAAAATTCATGCAACCTAACAAGATCAAACAAGTTCCTGGAAAAATTCGCAACAACAGGCAACAGACCCATGGAAAACGCAAGGTCCATAACAAAAAAACCAAACTTCCCAAATTCGCAGCAACAAATTCCTCAACCAAACCACAAATTTCGCAACAAGCATAACAATCAACACAAATAAATCAGTAAATCGTAACAAAGCAATGTATCCAGGCCCAAAAAAAATCAAAATTCAAACTAATATAAATCAGTTCATCATCAGTTCTTCAAGGGAGGGGAGTTCATCCGAAAAATAAGAACAATGGAGGAGCGAAACCAGGGACTCAGAAGAACGGAACTTTATCATCGTCGCCTACCATCATCATCCAAATCAACAGCGACAAAGATCCAACATCGTCATTCGAACCGCTTCAAACCCAAAAAAGGGTGAGCAGTTCTCTGGCATTTATTGTTTTTCTCTTTGTTTTTCAGGGTCCCTGAAGAAGCACGCGAAACAGACATGCAAAGACGAAGAAGGGAAAGTGAAAAGCTCAGAAGAGCTTTAACAATGGCCACCGCAGGTGATTGAAGAAGAAGAGGATTTTCAAAAAACCCTAACAACATTGCAACATCAGTCGTCCCCCTCCCCCTTTTATTTCATATCATTTTTTTCTTTTTTTTTTAATTTATTTTATAATTTAATAATTCATTATAATTAGATTGTTATAACCATATTTGTTATTTTTATAATTTTATAATTTAGTTTAATTTTTAATTGAAATATTTTAAAATTAAAAACCATTTTGTTAATCAAAGCACTTTTTAAAATTAAAACCCAATTTCGTAAATTAAAACCACTTTTTAAAATTAAAACTCAATTTTGTGAATTAAAATCACTTTTTAAAAATAGAAAAAACCACTTTTTTATTAAAACATTTCTTAAAATAAACTAGAAACCTTTTTAAATTTTAATTAGAAACATTTCTTTAAAATTTAATATTTATAAATTGAAAAACTTCTTTTGAAAGATAAGATTTTTGTTAATAAATTAAATCTCGGCAAAATTAAAAACTAAAATTCTTTTTGCAAATTCCTCAATAAACCTTAAGACCCTTTCTTAAAATTGTCTAACATTTCGCCTTCGGTTTCAAATTGAACCTCCCCCGTTCATTTTCGTCTAATTTTTATGCCATTCCATTCATTGTTTTCTCAGTTGTACAATTATAATACTTTATTATTTCATATTTCATTTTATGGTCGTAATTTACGAGAGGATATCGTCGCTTTGCAATTCCTTTACTGTTTTCGTACTTTTCCATATTCCAATACTGCCGCTTAATTATCTTTCATTATATTATTTCACTGTTAAATCCCTCCGAAGAAATAGGTCTAGCCGTTTGACCGCCGCGTCAATAGCCCTCACCTTTGAACCTTTCAAAACCCTAATCGCATAGGCGTCCCTCCGTGGACCAAATTACTATTTACCCTAGCATTAGGATAGAGAGTCGCCGTACTCCATATTAGGTTTCCCTCAGTGGAATACCCAGTTTACCCTTTTTAATTTCATTCAATTTCAACGTAGAAATAGGAGTCGCCGCACTCCACGTAAGCGCTTCCTTAAGAACGTTACTTCCCTATTGAAACCTTGACCACCGTCAATATGTTTCTCTTCCTCCCTTTCAAGGGGAACTACAATTACTCTGATTCCATCCCCTACCTCGGATACGTAGACACAAGATGTGAGTCTTGGCGAGTAAACTTAGGACTAACCCTTAGATCTCCCTGTTGCCGCCTAACCCTTAGCATATACCCTGAAGCAGGTAACTAAAGCAAAATAGAAAATATTAAACAAGA